TGGTGGGGCGGCACGTCTGATGTCCTCCAGCTGCAGGAGGAGGAAACTGGACTAGGGTTCCTGCAAGGCAGAGGTCGGACGTGCCTCCGTCCTCTGTCCTTGGTTCTGATTGCTTTTTGGGGAAGCTAACAGGCTGCAGTGCGTGAAAGATGCAGTTGAACTTCCGCCATACCTCTTCTCAGCGGTGCTAGCAGGTGAGCCTCACTCTGGTCCTCGGCCTCTGGACCACATGGTCCCTTGGCTTTTGCTCTTCTCCGGCAGGGGTTACAAGGTCCTTTAGCACTGGGAATGTCCTATGGACACTTCACTCTGCCAGCCAGACTCCTGCCCAAGGGCACGGCACTCCACTTGTTCCAGGGCCAGAGCCCACTGCTCTGCTGCCTCAGGGTCTCTGTTTCAGTCTCGGCGACACTCCCCTGGTCCGTGAGTCCCTTTCCATCCAGGGGAATGGGAGCCCTGGTGGCCAGGGGGGCCTGTGTTGGGCTGCTGACCACAAGGTCTTCCATTTGAAACCACCAGCGGCGCCACGGGAGAAAGATGAGACTTTGTTCCTTCAGCGTCACAGCCGCGGACACCCACAGGGGCAGTTCTCCTCAGCCGTAGAGGGTCGCAGGGAGTCAGAGGGGCCTGGAGGTATGTGAGTGGAAGGGGCCCCACAGGACGGAGTAGCGGCACCCCTTTGGGTTTCCGAGACGCAGTCTCGACAGGAGGAGAGAGCAAGGACACTCTCATTTCTATCGCTGGAAACGGGTCTTTGGAGCGGTGTTGCTGATCTTACAGACGCCACGTGATCTCCAGCTGTTTCTATCGCAAGGCCACATTTTCCAATGACCAGTCCTTCCTGTCTCCAATGTCTGCATTCCCATCACCAGTAATTGTCGATGCATCTCGATGGCACGTGGAATCCACTTCTGAAGACAATGGTGTAACTCTTCAGCTGATCCCTTGGTTGCAGTCGCTAGCGGACACCTTTGAGGCATCGTTGCATTACCTGGTCTTCCTCACCGATGTCCTCATAGTGTAGAAGGCCCGTCTGGCACCGTCTTCGTCATTGCTGCCAGCCCCGAGCCCATGGTCACAGCCACTGCGCCAGTCCATTTCATTGCAGGACTTCCTCTCTCGCCTGCCCTTCTACTGTGCCACAT